TATATATATATATATATATATATATATATATATATATATATATAATAACACTATAGTTCAGAAAGCACAAAGGAACAGATTAAATGGAAAACAGATAAAATGAATTGAAGTTCGTGTGTAGAATTCGTGTGAATGTAGGCGAAAACAGCCCAGGTAGACATCCACTGTGAAGGTTGCATGGAGGTCATCCTCCATCTTGTCCTATTCCCTCGCACTGCTTCTATCCAGAGTTTCCGCCGGTAGACTGGAATTCCGAGGAGCGTCTCGCTGACATAGAGGGCGCTGTGAGTGCGCTGTGGCTGCCGGCCGTCGTCGCGGAGCCGTGTGATTCGTGGACGGCGGCGTGTGACGCGGTGTGGAGCTACGTCGGCATGGTGACGGGGGCCGACGGTGACGATGACAACGATGAGGCCAGCATCACGCTGATATCAAGGTTACATTTGCATGAGCGCAGAACACTCGCGAGCGTGGTAGTGTTAATGTACACGCACGCACGCGTACACACTCGCTACATACTCCCTATTACTTGTTCTCATTGCTAGTTAACAGTCGTTAACATCATTACAAATCAGTGACCGCCATCTGATCACTTTTTCTGTCGCCTCTCGAGCCAAAATTTTAATGATTTTATTATCAATGGCTTCATTTACAATGATTACAATTATAATGGACATTGACGGCATATGCGGCGACCGTTACTTCATAACAGTGTCATAAGTAACCATAGCTATTATTTATTTTATTTTATTTTATATTTATTATCAATGGCTTCATTTACAATGAGTACAGTTACAATGGCTTCATTTACAATGAGTACAGTTATAATGGACATTGGCTGAAGTAACAGTGACATGAGTAACAATGGCTATAATTGCAATAGTGATATATTTATTAATAATAGCTTAAATAACAGTCAAATTATTAACTCTCAATTTGTTCATCGCTAACTTGAACAGCATCGATTGTTAAAGCCTGGCGCACATTGCCGAACATTTTCCCGAACAAATGTTTTTGTCTGGCAATGTGCGGGTGGACAATTGCTGAGCGCACATTGCCAAACATTTTTTGTGTGTGTGTGGGTGTGTGTTTCAGGATGAGCCGTTAGCGCATGAGCTGCGGCCTACTCGCGTCCTCACGCTCACCATGACCTACCTGGTGCGCCACCTCATGCACCGCGGCGTCGACGGCCACACAGAGTGGTACGACTTCCTCTGGAACCGAACCCGCGGAATCAGGAAGGTAGGTCCGCGGAATCAGGAAGGTAGGTCCGAGGGGCCGGACTCTGTTCACCGGAGCGAGACCACCATGTGCTCACTTTGTTAGGATAATGTACTAGATATTGTTGGTAGGGCGAGGAATCGAGACCGGTTCATACGTTCTTTTTATGTGCGCGCGGGCAAAAATGTCGAGTTAGCAGTACTTCATTGCTCAGCATTATCTTTAGAATGTTCTGTCACAGCAAATGATCGGCTAGAGCTATCTGTCGGTCACGCAAAACAGATTTATTACAGGTGAAACGGCGGTGCTTAGATGTTGTTAAGTTAAACTGCGTGCGACTCGCCAGGATCCGGGGTGAGATGGGATCGTGAAGCCAGCATGCGTTCGCTCACGCTCGCTCCTCTCCACCCACAGGACATCACGCAGCAGGACCTGTGCAGCGTCGAGAGCGCCGCCTTGGTGGAGAAGTGCGCGCGCTTCCACATCCACTGCGCGGCGCGGCTCTGCGAGGAGGAGATGATGACCTTTGACCCGAAGATCAACGACGAGAACCTGACGAAGACGCTGCAGACGCTCAAGCAGATGTACGACGACCTCGAGAGCGACGGGAAGACGCGTTGCGCCGGAGAGGCGGAGTTCCGCGCGTACGACATCCTGCTCAACCTGAACGAGGGCGACAAGCTGAGGTAGGTGGCGCTGCTATTGCACGGTAGGTGGTGCTGTTGTCACACAGGTGGCGCTGTTGATGTTGATGTTTGTTATCACGCTGGAAGTGATGTCACCGTCCTAAACTTCGCTACGAAATTTTACATCCTTTTAGTTTTTTGTTGTTTGTTTTCTGAGGTACAAACTACAACGTTTATTATGTTAAATATGTTTTTTTTTTATATCCACATATTTTGTATATATATTTTCTAAATTTAATGTTTCTCCATTATTTCTTAGATACAAACTACACTGTTTGTTATGTTTTATATATATACATAAGGCTATTACATATCACACAGGAGATTGCATTGATGTCATGCTGAATGTGATATCACCATCTTTAACTGCTATGAAATTTAATATTTTATCAGTTGTTTTTTTGAGGTACAAACTACACTTTTTATTATGTTTTATATACATGATATATCTACATATTTTTTAATATATATTTTTATAAATTTACTGTTTCTCCGTCGTTCAGGCAGGTGTCGCACTATCGCACGGAGCTCAGGATGTCAGATGAGGTGAAGTTTGCTGTGAAGGCGTTCTCTGCTCTCAACAGCAACAATCTGCGTCTGCTCAACCTGGCGCTGGAGCAGGAGAGAAGGAAGCTCGATGCCAGGGAGCTGCGGCTGAGGGAGGAGGCGGAGGCAGACACGAGGGAGAAGGTCGCGGAGGACGTGCGGGAGGAGATCGAGGCGTCGGTCGTCGCGGAGGAGGTCGCGGGAGTCGCCGTCGACGAGATGAGGTCAGGGCTGCTCTTGTGTTTTTGTATTGATGAGGTCAGAGCAGCTCTTTTGTTTTTATTTAGATGAAGTCAGACTTGCTCTCTTGTTTTTATCGGAATGAGGTTAGCATAGCTCTCTTGTTTTTATCTGAATGAGGTTAGAGCTGCTCTCTTGTTTGTATTTAGATCAGGTCAGAGTTGCTCACTTGTTTTTTTACTATGACGTTTACGTCCTTCAAAATATTCCTTTGGTTACAAGTTCGTCTCGTGATTTCTTGCAGGGAGGTGGCGCTGTTGTTGCAGGAGCAGCAGCGCTCTCTGGTGGCTGCAGTGCTTACCTCTGAACTGCTTGACGACATGGTGACGACGGAATGTGGCGCCACCTGCCGGGACGTTTACGCGACCGACGTTGAGGATGTTCAGTTGTTTCTTGCCGAGCAGAAACGAAAAGTCGAGCGGCTGCGTCTGGCGCGATACTTCCGCAAGTGGGTGAACGCCTACGCAGGTACGCTAGCGCCACCTACGCCGGATGGTGTCCCGCCACTCATCTGCCTCTTATGTTCACCGTCTGCTGTTCGAGTAGTTATCTATAACTTGTGCGACATGAGCGCCATCTGTGTGTGTGTCTAACAAGTATAGTTGTTAGGTTTTACTACGAGGTGGCGCCACGGTCGCTGACACGGGTGATAGACTGGTACCCTGTCCATAACTTATCGTTACTGTGGTTGGGCCAGTGACTGAATGCTAGGATGAGAAAGACGCGATTGCCATATTAGTCTGAGGGCTGTCTCATATCATAAGATAATTATCGCCGCCCAACGGAGTTGGAGGAGGTTATGTTTTCGCTCTCGTGTGCGTGTGTTTGTGTGTTTGCGCGATCGATATTAGCGCGTCAGCCAGCGCAGCGAGCCAGAGAGCGTGTACATGTGAGCGAGCAGCAGCAACGAGCGGCTGCTACGAGCGAGCGAGCAGCAAGCCAGCAAGTCAGCGTGTACATGTCAGTACGCTGGCGTATATCGTGGCTTATTCGTGTGTTCGTGAGTCGTATGGCGTATGGCGTATGTCGCTGGTGGAGGTATGCCCTCTCCGTGAGTGCACTCTGTCTAGTTGTATCGTTTAAACACACAACACATAACCATATTTTTTTTGATATAGTAACACAAACTCTTGTTGTATGTATTAATCAAGAATGTATAAATGTTGTATACGTGACTTTGCATCTTCTGAGCAGCAGGAAGCGTTCATTTTGCCGGCGTTTGTTTATGTGTAACGTAGCAACACGACAGATGGCAGTCTTGGGGTCAGCCAATGAGATGGCACTCATCGAGCTACCTCACCTGTTATTATAATGAATTAAGGACAGGGAACCAGTCTAGAGCGCAAGTGATGTACGCGCCGTCTACGTGTGGTTGTAGTTTCTGTTTTTCACCGTGAGATGGCGCCACACGTGCGCTAACGCGTCTGCTCTCTCTGCAGGGCGTCTGCGTCTGCGCGGCTCGATGCTCGCCTTCCCCAGCGCGCCGCCGATGGTCTCCGCCGCACAGCAGTTCGCTCGCCTGCACCCAGGGGGCGCCACGAAGCGTGCGCGGGTCGGCGAGGAGTCGCCGCTGGTGCTGGAGCGTAGGCAGAAGTACGCGTCGCAGGCTCTCAGCCTTCACGGGTACATCCATCTACTACAGCAGGTGTGTGTGTGTGTGTGTGCGTGCGTGCGTGCGTGCGTGCGTGCGTGCGTGCGTTCGTTCGTTCGTGCGTGCGTGCGTTTTGTTTATGTGTGTGTGCGTGCAGGCGTGTGTTTGTGTTTATGTGTGTGTGCGTTCGTGCATGCGTGCGTGCGTGCATGTGTGCGGTCGCGGTGCGGCGTTTGTGTGTGTGTGCATGCGTTTGTGTGTGTGTGTGTGCGCACATACCGCGCCATCGCTCAAACATGTCGTCAGCATCGATTCTTTATGATTAATGATATTCTCTTTCAAGTTTAAAATTGTTCAACGGTTTCAAAAGTTTGTAGATTGCACCCTTTCAAAGATTTCTCATGCAATAAATGTGTAATATATCGATCTGTCTTTTCCTCTGGCTGTTTGGCCTCCGTCCATCTATCCATCTATCCATTTCATCTCCGTTCACCTGTCCGTCTGTTCGTCAATCCATCCATTTATCCATCCATCCATCGATTCCATCACACCGTCTGTTGGTCCATCCGTCTGTCGTACTGTCGTACATGTTGACTTTTAGAGACTTTTTTACCTTTTTTGAGGTTTTTAGAATTCTAGAATCACAACATCGATTAGCAAGAGCTACCTGAGAGTCACTCCAATACTTTCGATACTCCTGGGAATAATTAATTTTGTTTGCGCAGGAGTTGGCATGGAAACCGTTGAACATACCACACCTCATCGCACCACACCTCACGAAGCGACGCTCGCGCTGGCTGCATCTACTACTGGAAGGTGGCGCTACTGTCGCATGGCGCGGCCGGCGGGGGGGCGGCGGGCGGAGTTAGCCGCGGTGGGTGAGAGCGGCGATTCACCAAGGAGCATGTGCCATCTCAGCCTCCAGCAAAGAAAATGTGAGGCGTCAACCAGGGGGCGCCGATGTCTCTCTACGCTGCAAATGTAGTGTGGCTCCTGTATCTAAATTTCGTGATTAAATTTTCACAATATCTAGTTGATAGTAAATTAATTAATGCAATTTAATATTCAATTAGTTTATTTAGTCAAAACGTTTATTTAATCGTGTTTTATTAGTCTTATTTACTAGTTATATATCATTTTGTTTTCCAGATTATGCACCTTTCAAAAGCATGTGATTATGATTTTGTTTTGTTCGAGCTACCCTCTTCGAAAAGATTAAATAGACATTCCGAACGTGTGTAGAATTCCGATGTGTCTCGTGTCATTGGAGGCGTATTTCTGCCACCAGGTGGCGACATTGAGCTGTACTCGTGGACGTCGAACAATGGCAGGCGGCGATTGGAGTTTGCGTCACAGCAGTCGACGGTGACGACCCGGTGACCTCGCTGGCAGCAGACGACTTCTCGGACAAGTGGCGTCCTCTATAGTCTGTGTCCACCCTCGCGTAGCGATGAGGTCATAGAGGTGAGTTTGTTCGTTAGTTTTTTTTAACGCGTGATTTTTCCAACAACTCGTAATGTAATATTGATCGTTATAATAATTATTATTAATATCGTTTATGATTTATTAATATCAATGTATATATTTCATCAAGTCATGTATCACTTATCTCTTTCTCTTGACACACTAGTTAGTTTCTCAGAAAGTTAATACAAAATTATTTGCAACAAAAACATTTTAACTACAAAATTGACTACAATTAATGCTCACTACTCGAAATTAATTACACACTTGATTTATCAAAATTAAGCAGACCTGAGTTTGACAGTTACACAAAGTTGAATGTGAACATTTCACAACATCAAGGGTAACAGGTTAACTATGTTGGCAGGAAGTTCTTTCTGACTGACATCTAAAACAGCAATATGGTGACTTTACTGAGTAAAAACAACGTGCCTACGTAACTCATGTATGAATTACATCTTTCTCTCACAGGAATTTTTGGCACGAGCCAGAGCGAAAAACTTCGCATTGCTCCTGGAAAGCAAACCTTGCAAGCGCACGCCTCCCCCTGGTGGTGATTCTGCTCGAGCTGGCCGCTGTGGATGGACGCGTTCCCACCGAGGACGTTGAGGAGGGACTGCGGTTGCGCGGGGCAACGGCAACGCGACGACGTGCGCACACCACGTCTTTAACGTTGCCGGCGACGTGGCAGCAGCCGTTGGGCCGACGGATACGGTGCGTTGCCCGCGGTTAACCTCGCCGTCGTCATAC